CTTAGGTGAGCAGACTTAGTCAGCCTGTGTTGCCCTGGAAGACCTGCTGTCGAGATCCGGACATGTTCGTCGCACGTAGCACATAGGTCCGTCCATCGGACCCTTCATCCATTTTCATGCTCTTGCCTCCTCAAAGCCGTCCCTCCCCTTCTCACTATCTCGCACCCTTCCCCTCCTCCTTCCCCTCCATCTCTCTCCCCCTATCGGCCCGCGCCCACTCCCCCTCCTCCTCTCTCTCCTCCCGCTCCAGCCTCACACTCCACTCCCTGTCGATCTCCTCCCCCTCCTCACTGCCAAACCCGATCGGGCACCCCCCCTGCTCAGGGACAGGGGCAGAGGCAGGGGCAGGAGAAGGGGAGAAAAACCCCCAATACCTGCTCACCATCAGCAGTACATACCTGAGCATGCTCGGGTCTGGCCAGCACTCGACAGGCGCGGAGAGCACGGCTGTCCATAGGCTGGAACTGTATTTCTGTGCGAGAGATAGATGGGGGTTGGACTGCAGCTGGGAGAGGTAGGTGGATATGAGAGTGTTTGGGGAAGGGGGGAGGAGGAAGGGAGGGGTTTGCATTTGTTGCTATACGCAGGGTTGGGTTAGCAGGGAATCTTTTTTGGGGGGAAGGGGGGCGCGTACGTAGAGCGGTCCAATACCTGCTCCTTGCCAGTCAATGATCCCCGTCATCTCTACCTCCCCTTCGGGGTTGACAAACACGTTCCCAGCATGTAAGTCCGGATGTAACAAACACGCTGCCCTCGCTTCCTCCTCCCTCGGGGCAAGAAAGGGCGTTATGCGGAGGAACTGGGCGAGTGCTTTGAGTGCTTTGGGGGAATGGGAGTCGGAAGATGTGGAACGGGCGGTGATATGCGCTTGTTCGGCTTTGGCTAGCGCTTGAGCTAGGGAGGGGATTGTGTGCCCTACACCAACGAATGCGAGTTAGCTGGCGTAGGAATGGAGGAGAGAGGGCGTACAAGGTCCTCTGTCTATGTTCAAACCTGCGCGTTCACCCCAGAAAACCCGGTGCACAGATGGCCCTAGCGCCCACCTGTCTTCCATCTCCCTGCTCCCACAGCCATGTTCCAGCAGAGGTGGCACGTCCTTCCTAAAATACAGCGCTCCATACGCTGCGAACCTCGTCTGTGCGAGTTTGGACGGGATAGAGACGAGCTTGTCGATCAGTTTCCCCGGAGAGGCGCGGAATGCACCGAGTCTACTGGTGAGCTCTACCCCAGGGATGAGGGATGTGAGCATATAGGGCGCACCGACGTCGTCTTTTGCACTATGGGTGTATACTTGTGGTACGGATATACCGAGGTGGGATAGGAAATCGAGTGTGGCTGTTTCGCTCACATTGGATACATGGGCTGGGCAGGGGTTGCAGAATGTGAGCCTGGCTACTACATCCTTCCCCGTGTTGAGTGAGAGTAGGAATACGCGATTGGATAGTCCTTCTGCCAATTTGTCAAATCGAGTAACATGAGAAGCTCCGAGTGCATCACAAGCAGCACGAGCGAGCGCTTCGGGTGAAAAGGGCAGTTTGCGTGAATGATGCACTTCTGGATGGGTGACAGATCGGATGAGCGTGTCTTGGAATAACTCATCTGGGTCTAGACGGTGAGGGAGACGGAGTAGGCCTAGACCTTCATTCCTCCCATTGGGGATACGACTGAGTACTAGGCGATGTCCATCCTAGGTCTGTCCTATTTGTTGCAAGAGAGGAGTGCAGTCAAGCGCCCAAGATGATGTCACACCGGAAGCGATTTATTCCTATTCCCTTCAAGTTGTTCAGGCACACGACCCCTCTTCTTCGCAGGGTAATGCGCGCTCCTCTGTCCCAGATCGGGCGATACCTCAGTAGCAGTAGCAGGCCCACCCCTCTCTCCCTCTATCCACAACTCCACTCCGCCCTCTCCCTCCCTTCCCCACCGCGCCAACCCACCCGTAACATGCCATTCTCCCCTCGCCCCCTCCTCCCCCAAGACCAGCCAATCGTATGGCTCGACCTAGAGATGACAGGCCTAGACTGGACGCGTGACCAGATACTGGAGATCGCTATGGTCGTCACTAACGGTAACTTGGATATAGTACATGACGGGTTTAGAGAAGTAGTCAGAACAGAGAAGAGCGTGCTAGACCGGTGTGTCCCTTCCCCCGCTTCATGTTATCCCCGCATTCATTTAGGACAAAGCATGGGCGAATGGTGCACGACACACCACACCCGCTCAGGCCTCGTAGACCAATGTCTATCCTCATCCTTCCCACTGCAGGAAATCGAGTCCCTCGCTCTCTCCTACCTCAAGCACTGGGTGCCCTACCAGGGGAGTGCGGTCCTGGGGGGATCGAGCGTGCATGTCGACCGCGCGTTTTTGCAGATGGGAATGCCAAGGTTGTGCGCTTGGCTGCATTATAGGATCGTAGATGTGAGCTCGATAAAGGTGCGGCGTGGTGCGGTGCATGACTGGGGTCGGAGGCGTGGCTGATGCAGAGTGTACAGGAACTGTGCAAACGCTGGTATCCCCAAATCTCCACTTCTGCAAACCTAGACAGGAAACAACCTTCCCATCGCGCGCTCGCAGATATCCAAGGGTCGATATCCGGTGCGTCCCCCTGCACACCGTGCCCAGACTGGAACTGACGGGGACGTGTGCCCAGAGCTGAAGTTTTATAGACAGCTGATATTTAGAGACCCGGCGGAGGTTAGGGCTCCGGACGGGTCACTTTAGAGAAACTGCAGGTGCAGGAGCAAGAGCAGGACGGGGAGAGGCAGGAGCAGGCCAAGGAGCCGTAGTCGGTGAGAGAGGAGTAGCTGAGAGCAGGCGCGCGGGAGCGCCAGGACTAGCCAGCCGGAGAGGACGTGTACATGTCCACTCTTGCATTCTTAGTAATGTACTCATTCCCCTTCCCCTCTCCGCTTCCCCTGCACGCTCAAATAAGGTACCTAAATCCCTTCCTCCTCCCCGCCCCCTCCTCCGCCCCCGATTCCGATGGCGACCCTTCGCTCGACCCTCCTCCAGAAGGGGAAACCCCTTCCAGCTTGTCGAGTTTCCGGTTCGCGCGCACCAGCAGCAAGCGGATCACTGTCCCCCAAGCACGCGTCAGCCCGCACTCCAGAACCCACCAGCCCACGCATCTACTCACCCAACGCACACCCTACCGCCACCCCCAAGCCCGCCAATCCGATCCCCATACTCTGCCTATACACCGGCGCCCACTGCGTCCCCCAAACATAACTCCCCACCAAATTTCCCAAGTTTCCAAACCCGTTCACCAGCCCTATTGCCGCTGCGCGCTTTACGGGCGGACGGGGAACGCTGTTCGATACCCAGACGAGGGTGAGTGCGAACCCGGCATAGCCTGCTGCCATGAGGAATAGGGCGATGTATCGCGCTGCTACGACTTTCGTGGACATGCCGATTATGTATCCCACCCTGGGGGATGTTAGCCAACGTGAGGCAAGGCAAGTGCTGCAGGAGTGGGGGAAGGGCACGCACATAACGCCCATCCAGGGCCAGGTGACGTGCCAGAACCGCTCGCCCGTGGCGTCCGCATGCCGTGCGTTGATGACACATACGAGGAATGCGTATGCCCATGGAGGTGCGCAGAGCAGGAGGGTGATGGTCGTGGAGAACCCGAGGGTTTCTGGGGTGCGTTAGTGGTGAGACTTCGGGATGAGGAGAGCGGGCTTACGCGTGAGCGTAGGGAAGAAGTTCACGAAGGAGAGACCGAGCAGTTGGACGAATGTCATCCACTGGTACCTCATTAGCAGCAGTGGGAAGCAGCGGAAAGAACGGACCATGAACACCGGCACTTTCAGGTCTGTGCAAGCCATAATCAATCCGCGCCAGGCCGTATCGCCCTCCGCGTCCTGGTCCGCTTCGCCTGCATCCTCAGCCAGCCGCTGCTGGGCGACTGCCCTCTCTTCCTCGCTCAGCCAGCGGGTGTTCCTAGGGTAGTCAGGCAGAGTAAGTATCGCTATCAGCCCAATGGCCATCGTCACCGCCCCCTCGATATAGAAGAGCCAGCGCCAACCTCGCACGCCGAGCTTGCCTTCCATATTCCCGAGAATCCCAGCAGCGAGCAACGAACCAAACGCGTTGGAGACGATCAGCCCTGCGTAGAGCCATGCGGAGCGGTAGGAGAGCTCCGTTTTCGTATACCACCGCGAGAGGAGGTAGATCGTCCCCGGGTAAAAGGCGGCTTCGGGCACGCCGATGGCAACACGGCAGAGTGCTGCTCCGGTGAAGTTGTTTGTCACCCCGGTGAGGAGAGAGATCAGCCCCCAGAGAATGACCATCCCTGGGATGTAGAGCGAGGGACGGGAGATGAAATTGAGTAGGAGATTAGAGGGGACCTGGAAGGTGATGTCTGAGAGAGGTCAATGAGCATCGCAGGGGAGTTATGATGACTTACAGCTGGAATACAGGATGGCGATGCGGCTACAAGACCAAGATGAGCGAGAGCATGTGCGAGGAAAATATGCGCACCTTTCATATTGGAGGTCACTCATATTGAGATCTGTTTGTAGACCACTCAGCCGGGCAGTAGAGACGTTGTTCCGATCGATGTCTTTCAATATTCAGCACCGATACCTCAGCATCAACATAGCAAAAGAGGCATACAGTTGAGGATGAAGATAATGATCACTGATTCAACCGAATGGGCAATCAAAGTGCACAGAGCAATCTCACTTACCAGTGGGCATCAACCGCATATCCAGCTTCCGGACCAACCTCTTCTCAATGATCTTGCGTCTTTCCATGTTATGAACCCCAGCCAATTGGACGTCGATGTGGGTTGTTTCTCCTTTCTCGTTGACGCTCGCGAGCTTGGCCTCCTCCTGTGTCTCAAAGTTCTCCGCTTCTCCTCTGGAGACTGTTGGCGATGTAGACATCCTTTTCCAGTATTTGTTGCTCGAGTTGTTTCCTCGCCGTACGGATGCTGGAGCTTGATCGTGTTCGGGCGAATCGTGAGATGTGCTGGGCCAGGGGGGGTTATAGAGCATCGGAAACCTCACCAGCTATCCCGGCCCCCTTTCCTCCACTTGGCCACGTACATTGCGTCTATCCCGATAGTCGTACCTATTCTCGTACCATGTTCCAACTAAGGGCTTAAAGGAGACGTCCTACCCGCCCCCCGAGCCACGGGCTGGTAGTCGGCAATACAGCTGGCGTGAAGTTTGGTGTTGAGACTTGCCCAAATTGGTGCGCGTCGCGTCGGTCCGGAAACTCCGCCTGCGGTCATCCTTCTCCACAGCAGCTCCTTGTTCGTGACGCTGTGCGCGTCTAACATCTTGCGCGACCACAATGTTTCGTTCTTTCCCTCCTACGCCATATGACCTCACGCGTCAATATACATGCCGCTTGGCAGAACCACTTACGGCAGCGCATAGGATCGTTGATGCTTCCAACTGTGGTCTTCTTCTGCCACACCTGTGCGTCCTCCACCTTCGGTTCTCCTTCTGTGTTCGCATGTCAAGGAGGCCTCTGAGCTGAGCTAAAATTACTTGTTGGACTAACATGGACGCAGAGCATTAGGCATAGCACAAGACTGGACTGCTGCCAGCAAGCCAGTTGCCCTAAGTGATGGGGTCTTATCTTCCAGTTAATCCAGTGCCTAGGTGAAAACCAGTAAAAACGGACAACCTCAAGAAGAGTAGACTTGCACATACACCGCAAAGGGGAGCATCAACCATCTTCTGTTTATCAGACAACATTCACATCTGCACGGGGGAGCATCTGCCAGCTCAACACCCGAGGGCAGAGCTAATTTGGCGTCACTCCAGACCAGGGCCTATGGGTCGGTATTGCAGCTGTGGGGGACATACCTGATCACCTTGGATAATCCTTTAAAATGACAACAATGGCACATTCAGCGGCAGGAGAAGGTGATTCTCTTGTAGTAGGAAGGCGCCGTACGATGTGTGTCCGAAATGAGTACGCCAGTTGGCGAGCCATGTTGCTCAATCGTAGGGACCAAATCCATTCAGAGCTTGCAATCGCAGAAAGCGATTGAGATCATACAGAGTGCGTATTCATGCAAAGACGTGCTATCTTATTCTGAAAAAGTCAATGATGATGATCACAAGGGGACGGTGTTGTTGGTCACGCGTGCCAGATTAGGGCCGGTCGTCAGCACCGCCTGCCTGTACATTGAATCTACCAAGCACCACACCTTCGTAGTAAATTGGGGGACAATCGTGATTAGAATATTGTCCTGGTCTCTTCATCCTTCCTCTTGTACGACACGAGGAAAGAGACCTTTGGCAATAGCTCCGCAACCGGCCCGATTCACTCGTTTTTGAAACACGCGACAACACAATCATTGATTTTTCCCAAATTTGCAAGTGGGGTTTAAGATTCTACTATACACAAGAGTGCTATCACCTCAAAGCAGATAGCGGAACCCCTTCTTCATAGCCGCAGCTTCATCGAGCGCAATACCTTCAATCTCGGCTGTCGCACGCAGACGATCCATGTCTAGATTCTCGGTATCCGCGCCGGCAGCATCCATAGCTTGCTCTAGACGTTCGATGTTCTTGTTCATGCGCTGGAGAAGCATGCGGATAACTTGTACCGAGGACATTAGATTTGATCAGACGTAGCCGAGATAGAAGACTTACTCCAAGCGCAGCCAATGGCGAGAACGAGACCAACAAGACCAACACCCATGCTCTGCCGGTAGATCGGTCCAAACCTAGCATCCCACACGTAGCTTCCCACCAGATTGCCAAGATTTCCAAAACCATTCACCAACCCAATCGCCGCAGCACGCTTGACAGGAGGACGAGGGAACGAGTTCGATACCCAGACGAGAGTGAGAGCGAAACCGGCATACCCAGCAGCCATGAGGAATAGTGCAATGTAGCGCGCCGGAAGTGCTTGTGTCGACATGGCAATTATGTATCCGACACTAAACCTGGTCAGCCATTGAACTGCATGCAGGTGTTCTTCCCTTACATCACGCCCATCCAAGGCCAGGTTAAATGCCAGAAACGCTCGCCCGCCCAATCGGAATGACGCGCATTCGTGATGCAGATAACGAATGCGTACGCCCAAGGAGGTGCACAAAGCAGCAGAGTGATGGTTGTGGAGAAACCCAATGTTTCTACGGAGAGTATAAACAAATAATAGCATAAGATAATGTTGCACTTACGTGTAAGCGTCGGGAAGAAGTTCACAAACGACAAGCCAAGCAACTGAACGAATGTCATGAACTTGACAATTTGTTAGATGAGTTCGAAGATCATGTGTAGCCATTCATACCATGAAAATGAGGACCTTAGGATCTGTGATCGCCATCTTGAAGCCCTTCCAGGCTGTGTCTCCCGGGGAGTCCTGATCGGCCTCGCCAGCATCTTCGGACAGCCGTTGTTGAGCCACGATCTTCTCTTCTGTTGTAAGCCACCAGGTATTCCGTGGATAGTCTGGCAGAGTAAGCATAGCAATGAGGCCCACAGCCATGGTAATTGCGCCCTCGACGTAGAAGAGCTGTAAGTTCACTGAAGTGAGCGAGCGATACTGTAAAGCGGAGCAACGCATACCCATCGCCAGCCTCTGACCCCCAGCTTCCCTTCCAAGTTGCTTAGAATTCCAGCCGCCATCAGCGCCCCGAAAGCATTCGAGATGATCAGCCCGCCATACAGCCAAGCGGAGCGGAATGCGAGTTCCTTTTTGGTATACCACCGTGACAAAAGATAGATCGTTCCGGGGTAAAATGCTGCTTCAGGGATTCCGATAGCAACACGGCATAGAGCAATGCCGGTAAAGTTGTTGGTAACGCCGGTGAGACTAGGAAATTATCAGGACGGATGACGTGACGGAGGATGAGGAGAAGACGTACAGTGACACGAGACCCCAGAGGATGACCATGATAGGGATGTACAAAGACGGCTTGGAGACATAGTTTAACAGCAGATTGGACGGTGTCTGGAAAGTGATATCTGCCTGCTCATCAGGCAATGCTCAAATATGACAAGCTTACTCCAAGCATACAGCTGGAATAGAGAATGGCAATGCAGCTTTCATATTGCACATCTGCGGTTGGGATGAGTCAACAGCGCCACGCGCAATACGAAGAAAGACCTCACCGCTAAGTCCAAGGTCCTGCTGCAATCCACTGAGGCGAGCGGTGGATACGTTGTTCCGGTCGATGTCTCAACATATGGTCAGCGTCGAACACCTGGAGCCTTTTGTGTAGACGCGTACAGTTCAAAATGAAGATGACAATGACTGTTCAGCACACAAGTTAGAGTAGTTTGGTCAGGATTCAGTGACAACATACCCGTTGGCATCAACCTGGAATCGAGCTTCCATAGCAACTTCTTTTCGATCTTCTTCCGCACCTCTGGGTCATGCACACGTCTCGCAAGTGCCGCATCGATATGCGCGACTTCGCCCTTCTCGTTGACATGCTCGACCCTTGCCTCTGCTGTGGGTGAGGTCGACCAGTTCTCGATCATCTCCTTCTGCTCTTTAGAGTCTTCGACGGAGGACATCTTTGCTGGCTTGTGTTCAGAGAATGTCCGATTTGAGTGGGGGTAAAAGAGTAAGGAAGATCATAAGCGCGGGAATGATTCAACCTTCAGAGACGCAGGACAACAAAAGACCTTCATGCGTCGGGTTTTGTACCTAACGAAGGAGCGGCGAAAATAGCCCGCGCCCTCATTTTCTTCTCATCAGCTCCTCCACCAGGTCCTTTCGGGTTAGGCCCCAGGCACTGATGACAGTTTCTATTACCACCGGGGCAACCGCCCAGAAAGCTCCCTTGATCGAGATAGGGCCATTTGCTCCAACCCCGTGGGAGGGAAAACACGGCAGTACTAGTTAGAGCGGGGATCAGGCAGATCGACGAAGCGCGTACTTCTGCACTTCTGAGCTTCCCGTAACCCCGCATGGGGAAGGACGCGGGACAGGTGACGGCACGTTCTGTACTGACGGGTGATATCTCTACCTTCTGCTCGGCCGCGTAGAGGTACAAAACGTGGACAGCATCGTCTGATACAAGAAGGTAAGAGATCCGACCGCGCGTCATTAGAGACGAAGAAGAAGGAATGAAATGGATAAGGATACGCGACGATGCCGGGCCGCCAAGCCGTCCTGCCACCTGTCCCGCCGGGGTAGGACAAACTGTTGATGCTGTGATTGTGAGGCGGGCAGAAGATACATGATAAAGGAAGTTTGTAAGAAGTTGAAAAGCAAATCAGGGCTCGTCATTATCCCGCTTTCGGTGATAACCGGTTACATAGGCCGAACTGGGCCATTGATTGGCCATGGGAACATGTATACGAATATGTCAGAAAACTGATTTCGATTGTCTCTGCCATGTTCACTGAGTGAGTTGTACAATAAGAGTATATTTACATTACGGCGCACACGCCGGGAATGCCGCAGATTGGAAAAGGCACCGTACGTAGCAGGTAACGGTGCCAGTTGGCATTGTAACCGCACCACGTGGAACATGTGGACAAGAGCCAAGAGATCTGGCCACGTTCTCAACCTGAACGGCGGGTGAACAACATCGCCTTGCTGTGCCTAAGGGACCGCTCTCCAGAAAACCCAAAAAAGACGTCGTGAGCCAGTAATACAGACTCGGAGCTCGTCACGGCATATCGTGTTCGTCGTCGTCTTGTGTTCAGGCCTCGCCAGCGACTACAACATCCCCGAGATACCTGTGGGAGATAAACGTCTGCTGGAAGCAAGATTCATCGGTCAGACTCACTTTCCAAGCTCCTTGTTCATCCTGAACATGTCAATCTTTTGCATGCCAAACACAGCTCGCATCTTGTCATCGCAGAGGATCTCCTTTCTGTTTTGTGGGTTCTGCAGTTGATTCGCCTTGATATGGTCCCACAGCGCCTTCACTACCAACGGTCTGGGCAGCGCCGTCTCGCCTGTCAGCTCCTGGAGCGCAGGACTGCATATATGCGCGTTATTTTCACCCTATCTGATATGTATACATAAACCCACCTTAGAGCATATGGCTTTTGAAACCCGCCACCCCTCGCCTTCTTCTTTGGCCTCTCTCCGCCCTCTCCGCCAGAGTCTTCCACCTCCTCCTTGCTCTTCTTTGTCTTCTTCTTGCCCGCCTTCCTCGCGAGGCTCCCTGGTGGAGCTGTCACGGCACCACGCGTCGAATGGCCGTTCAGCTCAGCACTGAGTTGTCTCGCGAGCTGGGCATCGGACAACTCCTGCTTCGTGTTCACATATCCAGTGGGATGCGCTTGGAGTGGCATTCCCGGTGAGCTCTGGGACAGCGCAAGGTCTTCAAACTTGCGCTTCGAACCCGCATGCGAGGCGCTCGCCGCATAGCCCATGTTCGGCAACGCAAGCCCTAGTCCAGCCGTAGCGTTGTAACCTTGCATTGGCTGGTACGTCCCACCCATCCCCGTACCAAGGGTACCACCCACAGGTCCAGGGTTGGCCGGGGGCAGTATCCCCGTTTGACGTTCCTCCTTGACCTGATTGAACACAGTCGCGATGAGCTGGTCGATCGCGGCTTTGTTGTCCCTGATAAAGTCCGGTGTGACGAGCGGGTCCTCTGCCTGCAGCTGCTTGCGCACCCGCTTAGCGCTGATGGTCTCCAAGTCAGTGCTCGGGCCCGAGAGGATGGCGTAGATCCGCGGCTGGAGGGCGGGCACGGACGTCATCCTGAGAGGCGGGTTAAGATAGGGCGCAGTTGGGAGAAACTGAGGGGATATCGCGGGGGAGTGGGTAGGATATCACGGGCGTGGTCGTCGGAGTAATGGATGGGATTGGCAGGTGTATGCGCTCCGGGGGCGCTGACGGGGGCGACGGCGATGGGAAGGGATGTTGGCTGCTACCGCCTCCCGGGAAGGTCGATTGAGGAACCACGCGATCTCACTCGTCCGGAGGCTTTTCTCACGCACGTCGGCGCGTGAATCTTCCGCTGATAATCGCCCTCAGAAGCGATCAACCGTCGTAGAACTTCAACTGAGCTATCGTGTATGCGCGGTCATCACCCTGCTATAAATTTCCTGATTCTTTATATACTCCAAGATAGAAAGTTACTGAAAGATAAGCTGCGTTAAACATATCCTCCCCCACCAGTTTTACCATCAGCTGGTCCCTGACAAGTGTGGGCTGCAGTTCCGGAGGGAGGCCATGCCAAAGATCCCGCAATCTGCCAATCTTACATAAGAGGAGGCTGTATTCAGGGCTTCAGTTTTCGTCATGGGCTCGGCGTTCTGCGTTCATGACCTAGAAATCCTCTCATTTTGCCCGAATGTCAGACAGTAGCGACGAGTCATAGAGTCCTATCTCTGCAGCATAAGACTCGGTTCTGTGGGCGTTTACCATTCATCCACGCGCACTTACTTGCGGGTACTGATCATGACACACAATTCCCTTGATGACAAAAAGGGGCACAGAATGGAAGTCGCAGCGAATCGCCAAATACGGTCTTCCGTTTCACATAACACACGAGAAGGCGGGCAATATCCGATCCTGAGATCAGTGGGGCGCTTGGCCCTCTTGTATATACCATTTTGTGCCATCTGTAAAATATTGTAATGGAGTGTACAACGATGAGAAACTGAGATTACTAAGGAGAGAAAAAGAAAGAAGAGACGCTGATGTTTGTCTGTTGCCCTATCGCATGGGTTGTGGCTCAAGCCGCGGTCTCAACTTTGGCAGCCGTTTCTTGTGGTGGGTCGACAGGCTTCCCAAGAGTCGGAACAGCAGCGCCAGCGGAGCCAGCAGTACCAGAAACAACCTCAGTAGCCGGAGGAGCGACAGACGGAGTGTTGAATGTTTGTGTGATGTTCTTGCTCACGAACGGTGCGGCAGCACCATTGAGCTTGGATGGGGTTGTAGTGTTATCGAGTCCCTTGTGGAAGGCAGACGGAAGTGAGCGGCCCTGTGGATGGGAGAACACACAGTCAGCTGTATCTCAGTCAGCACAGCAATCCACACACAAGAACGAAAGATGCTTGCCTCTGGTGCAGGCGATCCCATACCGGCAAGGAGTATTCGACTGAGCGGCTTTGTTCCACGGATGCGCAAATACACAGTCCGGCCGTGTGCAGTTGGCGCCAAAGCGGCACATGATGCCTTGGAATACCGCAGGCGCCGGGGCAATCGCTTTAGCTGAGAGGTACAGTTAGGCGGTGGATAAAAGACGAGAAGAATAAATTGCTCACACTCTGCGTTGGCAGGACTAGGATGCACCCTCACGCACTCTGGGTTTTTGCAGTTTTTGCCATCGGGGCAGATCTCTTCACTGAGCACCAAACCGCTCTCGACCGTCGCAACAGGTGAGGGATGTGCGTAGTGGCACATCGGGTTAGTACATTTCAAGCCAAATTTGCACAGAGTTCCGGGGATCGTTGTTAGAGTTGCGGGTGATACAGGTGCAGGGGTGGGCTTCAAAGCAGGGGCGGGTGCCGGTGCGACAACAGGAGCTGGTGTTGGTGCTACAGGTGGGGCAAGAGCCGGAGTTTCGACGAGGTCGTTCCTCGTTTGCCCAGCCTGCGTGCTCCCTCCGCGGCCTCTTCCCCGGCCACGCCCACGTTGATTATCGGCCCTCTGGGGCGTTGCTTGCATATTCGGGTTTACAACTCCACCTGGCATGAACGGCATGCCTCCATTCATCATAGCCATTTGTTGCATCATTGCCATCTGCATCGCCATCATATCCTGCCACTGCTTCTGCATCTCCATCGCGGCCATGTCCTGCGACCCAGGGCCCATAGGCATGGGCGCTCCTTGCCATCCTGGCTGTTGTGGAACGAGGCCAGGGTTGCCACCAGTGATGGCATCGATCCGTGCCTGGATCTCGTCATTCTTTTGTTGAGGACGAGGACCCATCCGCTCCAACAAAGACCTTTCCCTTCCTCTGCCACGAAGCGGACGATCCCTCATCGCGCGTGGTGCAAGCGGTGCGTCACTTGTGCGGGGCGCCTTGTTTGCGCCTGTTGGAGAGCTTGACCGTTGACGCTTGAGGGAGGGGCCGTTGGGTGAGTCTTGAGGGGGAGATTGGGGAGGCGAGATTGGGCGATGAATAGGAGATGCGGGTGCTGGGGGCGCTGGAGTAGCGCTCTCTATGCCAGAGGCAATGCGCTCTGCTTCTGCGAAAAGCCACTTGCTGAACCCGAAGTCGTAGTCGGGAATAACTGAGAACAATGTCAGATGTTGGCACCGAAATAGATAAATTGAACAACTCACTTTCGCTCAGTTCAGCGTCGACCTGATCTAATCTCTGTGTCAGCATGGGATCTTCTGTTTGAAACCCTGGATAATCACCTTCTGGCTTGCCGTTAATGAGCATGATTACGGCATATTCAGACAATGTGGCTGGATCTATCCATGATGTTAGTACCAACTCCAGTATCTTATCAAGAGTAAGAAGACTCACCATCCTCAGCTTGCCATCCACGCTCAATCATGTCCCTTTTGACAGCCTCCTACAATTTCGTCAGTATATGGCAACATCGGTTATTCTCGTATGCACGAACTTGAAGGGCGACCTGCTCGGGAGAATTCATCACAATGTTGGGTGCCATATTTTCTGGTGTTCAAATGTTGTGATAAATGTTAGATGATCGTTCGAGAGAAGCGGCGTTGCGCAGAGCTGCAAGACTCCAGGCGCGTAAAGAGGGATTGCTCCCGTCCCTGACTCTCAAGTTGCTGACATAGCCACTTCGGATGTTTTCGGCGGTAAGCTTCGGCTCGGGCCAACCAAAAGACAACCCCACACTTTTGCAGATGGGTATACATATGTAACATCGCTTTATAGTAAGAATGGAATAACTGCTTTTCGTTCTTTTGGATAATCTTCAAACTTCTGCTTATACCATCCGTGCCCGCTCACCGCCCTCGGCAGCATCACACACACCTCACTGAGGAGGAAGACCCACGGCGGGGTGACGTAGCTGGGCGGGAAGGGAGAGCCGACGGTGCTGGCCATAGCGAATCCAACCCATTCTAGCCATTCGCAGAAGTAGTTCGGGTAGGAGATTAGAGCAAAAAGCCCTCCACGTGGAATACCGTAATGGGGCTTCTCACCTTTCGCTTTGGCCGCTCGGTGTGTGTTCCGGCGGAGGGAGATGAGAAGATTGTCGTGGTATATATTGCCCACCATGCCAGCGAAGAACAAGCCTACCCAAGCCCAGAACGCTGGTTGGTCCCACGCGTCCGTTGCTACCTCTCGGGAAGAAAAGTAGCAGCCCAGTAGGCTGCCGTTTACTGTCTGGTACACAAACGCAATGATCGGGACGATGATGTGGCTAGGACTGCGGCGTGGGGAGTACAGGGGCTGCAGGATGGCGCGGTGGAAATAGTGAATGAGGAAGAGGCCGACGAGAATACCGGCTGGGGACTTGAGAGGCGGGGGACTGCCCGTTTTAGATAGAGGGCTTAACGTCCATGTATACAGGAAGCAAAGAGGCGCAGGCATCTCCATGAAGAAGAAAGCAACATTGGCTGTAGACAACCTGATCAGTATGGGAATTCAAACATCGAACGGAGTAGCGCACTGTTGACCTTCCAATTCTTATAGAACCCTTCGGTAAATATGCTCGTTCTATCCACGAACTTGCCGAACGGCGCATCCAATTGCGTGTATGCAATAGGGACAAGAGAGGAGAGGATAGCGTAGTAGCGCCGCACCGCTGCACATGTCAGTTGCTGACTTCTTCCAAACGAAATACTGCATACCGTGATAGTATATTGATGCTTCTTCCGGTTGCATCGTTCTAGAGGGAAAGCGCAGGCCTGCTGCACTCTGGTAGTGTCACGGAGCTCTGGTCAATGAGAGTGTTGGTGAAAAGACTAAGGGAGTTTTTCCGAGTTCCGCTGCTGGTACGACTTGGCCGGATGTTTCAGCGACCCAGGGCTTTCCATCATGACATCATCGGGGGCATCTAGTCTAGTTCATCTAGTACAGCACTAGTATATCGAGCCACAACACGTCTTGCTCCACTGAACTTTCTTAGAAATACAACCATAAAGTCCTGCTTAATTTGATGGTAGAGTGCGCGTCTCTCCTCTTTCTTTCCCCATGTCAGAACTACTTGTCCCAAGGCCATGACCAAGTGCCTGGTTTCGGAAGTTTGAACTGGCATCACATAGTCAGTTTCCTTCTAAGATTAGAACAGGAAGACATGCCACAAGCTCTCTCGTACGATGGAGCGATTCGATCTCATCAATGCGCTCCAAGACATTTTGCAGCGACTGCTCGAACCCCTCGGCTTCACAGACTTCCTTTGCGGCTTGCAATATGACAATTGAGTCCGGCCTGACGTCGTGAGTGATCTGTCCATCCACTCGGTTCAACGTCGGGCTCTGAAAGAGACAGTAAAATCTCACGTCGATTGATATGATGTTGCTGTGATCTAGTGCTGCAAGGAAATCTCCCCGTCCCATGATCTGTCGACATCGCCAATAAGGTATACTAGGGACTGGCTGGTCGTCGAAATCCTCCTCCTTCCCTACTCTTTCTGTCTCGCGCTGTTTTTGCAGCCGCACAAATTCTTGCAGTAATAGCCATGAGCTGGATGCAAACTTTTGCTCGTCCATGACATCATCATCATGGTCTGGGATGAGCCCAATGTGAGCCAAAAGCCACGCCTTCTCGCGAGCAAGATATTCCTTGGCAGCAGCTGTAAACTTGTCATTGGAGAGCGATCATGGACAGTAAAGTGCTTGCCAAGGACATCGTCCGCTTGGCCTATGCGATTCAGAACAGCCAGTCGTCCACCGACACAGCGGACTGCTTCCCTCAAACACAGTTCTGAATTTTCTTGATCGACTATGCCTTGTTGCATGAACTGGAGAGTCTGCACCGCTTCACTTTGTGATAGGTCCGAGATAGACATAACCTGAATTCATAGTAAGAATGAAACCAACGTGACACAGTATCAAACCCACCTGCAGCCGGTTAGCTGCCTTTCTCAATACTGTATACGGCCAAAAGTCGTCCGAGCAGAAGACCATCGTCAATATTCCGCTCTCGGCCCAGCTCTCCGCGCGCTGCTGCAAGACGCGCACCAATGCCCGACCAGAATCATCATTCTGTAGGTGGTGCATGTTATTGATGACGAGCACGAGGGGTTTTCTGCGGCGGGCGACGCCGAGGAGCGCGTATTTCTCCAATTTGTTCAGAGCTACAGCACCGTTACGCTGGGAACTTATCATGACAAGTCTTGTATTCACCTCTTTCAATGTCTAATGCAGGTCCGCCTAAAGACACAGTTCAGTTCATCCGCCCATCTTGTGGATACATATTAAGCGCACCTTCCTTAGGATCCCTCACTTGAAACAACCCATACTGCGCGTCCTCGTTGTAATCATAGTTGATAGCCTTGCCCAACCTGACCCTGAATACCTCAAGGTCTGGGTGTGCCTCACAAACCGCCGCACCGTCTGCCTGCGTCGCGCTCATGGCGTCCATGATCATGCTCCCCTTACCTGTGCCTTTCGGACCAAGCAGGAGGTAATAATGTCCCTTCTCTTCACCCGACATGATACGGTCAACCAAGTCTTGTTCACGTCGGCGGACATGGCCGTTTGGGTGGATACCGGCGGAATGATTGGCGAGCTCTAATGCCGGGTCGTATCCCGGGGAGAAGGCGAGCGCAATCTAGGAGGCAAGCAGGTCAGGATAAACAGATCACAACAAAGATCGACGTACCTTATATAAAACATTATGCTTATACCAAGTAATGTATATTCCCCCGGCAATGACAACTGGTTCGCCCCGTTATAAATTGGTGGTCACTGCGCAAGCTCACTATGCACGAACCGGCAAAGAGACCTGATCAACCAAAGTCAATATCCTATCACAAGATCACAAGTGACTGCCTTACCAGCTATTGCAACAAGTGTCGCTTCTAATAAGGGAGAGCGGCGAGCTGAAGCGGTCGCTTTCTCCAATCGGCTCAATTGAGCAAGGATCATCGACAAGGTTCCCTTGTCTTCGGAGCCGGTCTGTACTGACTCTGTTGTTGCTTTCCCACCATTGATACCACCATCATTCTTTTGCTTAGGCCGTTGCGTAGGCCCCGTGTTTGGAGGAGTGGTGCTTGCACCCCGTCTCCTTGCTGTCAGGAGTTTCCAGACTGCAGCATGATCTCGCAGCGGTCTGGTGGAAAGCGACAACCGCAAACCATTGGGTAAGCGCCGGACATTGCCACCCGCTAGTCGCATAAGATGATGCATTACAGATAGTAGAGCGAGATCAGCTGTTCAAGGGGCAGGACATGATCATATTGGACGTTCTCACGCCTGTGCGCCAAGGCAGGGACGCGTCGCGCGACATGGACGTCGCCAGTTAACCTGCCTCGTTTGACGACGACCACGATGGAGGGTCATCCCCATCCCATGACGGCGTCAGCGTTAGACATCAAAGAATCATGTCAACGTGTTCTTTTCGAGCTGCTTGTTTTGTGTAGCGAGCTCGTTCTTCCTTATCTCTTGTTGGAGGAATCAACACGAATTATCCTTGCTTCTCTGGAGCCGTAGCTGGACTTCTGTGCCGGTGCCTGAAAATTGTCAGCGATGCGTTGGAGCATTTATTCTGGAACAAAGGGTCACACCGTTACATTGCATAAGGTATGGACATGGTCCATAACATATTTAACATATATTTTGATATTCAAACCAGAGGTGCAAGACCCTCATGTCATCGGACGCCGGCTCAGGGCCAACTCTTCCAAGAAGCTTAAGATATTTATTCTGGTAGTTCGTCTCCAACATGACCTGAGCAGGCGGTGCCGCCAACCCCAGCGCACCAGCCTTTCTGTCCCCCGGCGTCTACAAAAGCGACTCATGTCCGAGGGTTGTCTGCTATACACACCCTCCTGACGCTTGACCCGTCACCATGCAGCCCCTTCTGCTTGTAGCTTCATTTGTTCTGGCCGGCTCCTTTGTGCTATACCGCATTCTATCGCGTAAGCGCCAAACAAATTCTGCCGGCTTGAAAAACCCTCCTTGGGCCTTCTACCCTGTTCCTTACTTTGGCTGTGCGCTTGCGTATGGTGCCGATCCAGGCAAGTTTGGACGGTTAAATGAGTATGTATGGCAATGAATCTCTGTTCGCACCGCTCACGTCTTTCTCAGAGACCGGCATGGACCGATATTTGCAACAAAGATGCTCGGTAGAAAGGCAACTTTTGTGACGTCCGCACCACTTATCGCAACGCTGTACAAAAACTCCAAGGCTGCGCAACACGACCCTATCCGTCAAGAAATCCCCATTCGCATGTTTGGCATTAGCCCCTATGCCGTTCAGCACGAACGATTGCCCTATGACGGTTTTCCTCTGTTCGATAAGGCACTGAGCTTTCAATCAGTCAAGCCCTTATCAGCCGCCTTCTCGAATCATGTGTGGAAGCGCCTCTCCGGCACCGAGGCTTTTCAGAAGACACGGATCGGCGATACCGTCAACATCCGCCTGACACGCTACATTTTTCCCCTCGTGTTCGCCGCCACCTGCGAAGTCTTCCTGGGTCCACGTTTCGACGCTGACGGCTCGTATGACGATTTCGAAGTGTTTGATGAACAGATTTTCAAGTTCCTGGCTGGTGTGCCTGCCTCGATGGCCCCGGCCGCGTACCGCTCCCGCACCCGTGTCCGCGATGCCCTTATATTGTTCCTGAAGAAGGCTTGGACTCCAGATCCCGCTGAAGAGCACAGCGGTTACCTTGCGGAGGCTTCTCCTCTCATCTCCGAGCTCATCGGTCGCTTCTACGGGTGTAAATTTGCGGAGCAGGACCAAGCAGGACACTTGCTCAGCATCATTTGGGGCTTCCAACCCAATCTTGTCTGGACGATCTACTGGCTCTTCCTGCATGTATTGCAAGACGAGACTCGTGCTGCCCGTTTGGGCAAGGAGATCAATACCGCCATGACGGATATCTTCCATTCCGATCTGAACCAAGTACTTGCCGCGGAGCCGGCCGTCTTCGAGCGGAAGGAGTTCGCACTCTTATCTTCTGCACTAAACGAGACCCTACGTCTCTGCGGCTCGGCAACAAGCATGCGCCGGGTGGTGGAGGACTTCGTCATTACCGATGTCAATGGGAAGTCCGCTGACGGTGAGGCTCCATCATACCTGCTCCACAAAGGTGAGGATGCGTACGCTATCACTCGCACGGTGCACATGGATCCAGACCTGTATGAAGATCCCGAGACTTTCCAACTCGACCGTTTCCTAGCAGAGGATGGCACGTGCACTCGAAAGTTCTACAAAAACGGGAAGCATGTTGCGAACAATCTGTTGGGTTGGGGAGGAGGTGTTAGCAAATGTACGTTCACCTTGGTTGCATCTATAGTGGTTTGGGCCATTCTAACCTAATTATGCAGGTGCTGGGCGGTATTATGCAACGCATGCGGTGAAGCTATGCGTGATTCTAATGTTCCATCACTTCGATATCAAGCACATTCGGAACTGCAGTTTCGATGGTAGACATGAGACAGCGCCAGCTGTACCAGAAATGGACATGAGCCGCATTGGCATGCTAACCGCCAAAACTGACTGTATCCTCTCGCTGCGTCGGATTGTCTAGATACCCAATGGGAATGTGGATGCTTAGTGTATATCGTTGGTTTGAGACTCACGCAAAAGCGAACATAAGATAATCCGTTAGATAATCAGAAGGTGCGGTCCCGAGGGATTCCGCTGTGCCTTCTTATCGCATTATGAGTATTTGCGATAACAGGGGATATGTATCATTCCGCAAATATCACCATGCAAGAACTTGGTCGACACCAACGGAAGAAACGGGCGGCTCTGATCCCTACGACCATGTCGCGCAAAGATAGACACACACTTCAACGGTTGATAAACATCGCAATTTTAACCGCACGCAACCCATGGCTATTCAAACAACATTCTAGCTGGCACCATCAAGCGCGGAACCCTCATCAACCAGACTGACTTGGCCTAACTACGTGCGCCCAATTCGGATATATTGGGCTCATCCTACAACCACTGGCAGCTGCAGATGTTGGTGGTCGGTCCCCACTGCCGCCCCCTGTGATTGATCATTGAGGGTTTGATGCCGATATACCCCTGCTTTAGCTGGAATCCAACTTCACAAGGCACCAAAATTTCTCAGTTACACCAGGCGGTTCGGGTCCTTTCGGTGCCGACGCCCCAACACGACTGGTGGGAATGCTGCATTATGCTGAATTCCACCCTTCTCTCCACCGCCATCCTGGGAATACATGCTGTTGAGAAGGTCAATTTTCGGGACCGCTCTGTACGGCGTTTTCTCGTTTGTCCCGCGCTCACAGCTCAGAGTGATTAGGCGGCGACCTTGCAGTGTGTTGCGGCCGGGTCGGCTCGGGCATCTTGACCCCTTTGCAAAACCGGTTTATCAACCCTGCAAGAAAGGAAACTTGAAGGTGCTATGAGCTCCCCTCTTAAGAGCTGGGTATACCACCATTGGATTCTCGCCCATCGCCTGCAATGGCCCCCTTCCAACCTCAGCACGTCTCTCCCTCTCTGACTCTATTTCTTTTGGTAGCCGTGGTCGTGTTTTACGGGGCTGGAACTGTTCGTCGAACTATCTTTCCTATACAGCTCTCATTGAATGTCCCTTTCAGGTGATTCAACGGCTGTTCTTGGGGCCTTTGGCCCGCTTCCCTGGCCCCCGCCTTGCGGCTCTGACTCGTGCATGGGCTTTCGTGCAGTATGTGGAACTCTCAAGGCGTTTACACTTCCTGCTAATCAACTTCAGAGCTATAGGCGGCCGGCAGGTGAAGCATGTTCACGAATTGCACAAAAACTATGGACCGATTGTTCGGGTGGGCCCGAATGATCTATCCTTGTCGGCACCAGAGGTTATTCCCAGGCGTGGGCCACACTGCAATCATTTATCTGACCGGTATTAATGTGTTTGACAGTATACTCATTTAAGCCGTTTCTGAAAGATCCAGTCCTCTATGACGCATTGAATGGAGGGAAACCCGAAGGGCATCTGGTGTGCCAAACGTATGCAGACTATCATTTCACGAAGCAACCCATCTTTATTTGAGATGCCAGAGATCCCGAGACTCACGCCAGGCGCCGCAAGCATATCGCGACACTTCTTTCGCGATCTGCGGTGAAGGGATACGAGAACGAGAACCTGCATCCAAAGATCATCAAGGCATTGTTGCCTTTCCGAGACGGCGACTTTTACACGGGTTCCATGGATGTACTTCCCGCATTGTGAGCCATTACCGCGGACGCCGCTGGTACGTCCTCCTTTGTGCGAGCCATCATGGACATTATTGATTCTGCTGTTTAGCTGAGCTCACATTCGGCAAAGTCTTCGGTTGTTTGGATGCCCCTGGATTTTCCCATCCGGTACTTGACGCGTTGGCGATTGTATCTGACGCAGTTCCCGTGGTCTCTTCTTTTCATGTTGGACAACGTCTACTGTTCTGAGCATGAGACTAGATCAACTGGATACCATGGCTTAACAGCATTCCCCGCTCACTTGTCGGTTATCAACCGCAGATGGAACCAGTGACAAAGCTCGAGAAGGTCTGTTGCCCTATTTCTAAGTGAAACAGTGAACTGAATTCCATTGCAGTTCGTGGCTGATGCGTGGGCAGCCGAAAAAGCTGGTCCGGAGCCAACAGAAGTGGGTCACACCGTTCTGAGCAGACTGGCATTCCTCCTCCGCAACGACACGCCCAAGTATCGCGACAATGTGGCTTTGTCAGAGGCATTGACGATGATGTATGTCAACCGAAAGTATCAGTGATATCTGCTGACAGATGATTAGCGTGGCTTGTTCCGAGACAACAACAATGGCAATGGTGTCGGCGCTGCACGAACTCTCCCTCAACCCGGGAATTCAAGCTCGTATCAGAGAAGAGGTTGCGCCTTTAATGCCAGACGTCACAAAGTTTGATGATGTCATGGAGGCTGGTCTTCCAAGCTTCCAGCAGCTCTAACAACTTCCCTTCCTAACAGCAGTTGTGAAGGTTTGATTTCTCAATGACGAATATGAGAGTTAATTCTGATCGTCTCACAGGAGGTGCTTCGCCTTTATCCCTCTGTGCCAGGCTTGCTGCCGCGTGTAGTGGGCAAGGATGGCCTGACAGTACGAAATCAGTTTATCCCCCCCGGGGTATGTTCGGGCTTTCCTTCATCACGAGATCGATAGTTGACGTATCGTGCAGACCGTCGTGTCCATGCAGGCATGGACAATTCACCGCGATATAGAAGTGTTTCCTGATCCGAATACATTTAACCCTTTCCGGTGGTTAAATCGATCGGAGGTCGAGCTGAAAGCGATGACTGCTCGGTTTTTGCCGTTCTCTGCAGGCGCAAGATCGTGCGTTGGGGAAGAGTAGGTTTACTCACCCAATTGTTAGTAATGCTTGACTAAGTATTGATTTCAGGTTCGCCATGGCCCAGATGTACCTCTTCGTGGGGATGTTCTGCCGTTTCTGCCAATTCGCACCTGCGCCTGGCTCAGACAATGCTATCGAAGATAACGGATTTACCTTGAACTGCCGTCATCACAAGATGCTACTGAGCATCGGAACGGCCCCAGCAGTGAACTGAGGAGGAAACGCACACAAACATACAGGAGTTATGTATTCCTAGAAGTCAGCTTAACGTACCACCTGATTTGTACAATCTTACGCGTTGTTATAAATTCTTTATTTGCGAGGGACATTGGGAGTTTTAGGATAACATTTCTAAGCCAAGCCCAGGAGTTAATCTTCTCAATGCCGCGAGGTGTTGAGCAAACAAGTTGGACCACTTTGGTGTACTCGTCCGGATGAAGAAAATGACGTCACATCTGTCCAACACAGTTGATACGACAGAAAGGATATGTTGATGTTGAATCCACGCAGTGCAAACCATACGATGCCCTGCCAAATCTCATGGTGGAGAACTGATGTTTACGTAATGGCAGGGTGGGATCGATGTTGGTGGAGTTGACAACCTGCTGGGCCGAGGGGCCGATGAATCCTCCGCAAGCAAAGACAGGCCAGATACATGCAGCCGCTTGTTCACGAGTCCTGAGAAGGGCTTTCGTGGCCTGACTAGCGGACGGCACAACCAAGGAAGAGACAGTAACAACAGACGTTTATCGTCTAGCCAACGAGCGGGAGATCACTCACCGCGTGTTGACACGACCTGCCCTACCCCTTGATAGGGTTTCGGGACTAACCTAGCCTTCCCTTTCGGAGGATTCGGGATAGAATACCTGTCCTTGGTAGGGCAGTAGATTAGCTTCTAATGCGTAGATTAGTCTAGCTTACCAGTAGGATAGCCCATGTAATCCACAAGGGTTCCATGTCCGCTGCGATGTCTGAAATGCGCTATCCCAGAAAATCTGGCCTATGTCCCATACGGCAGACATTTACAGGTTAGGGTTATATTGCTTTTCTCTATATACTGTAGCTATATGCATGGCTATTATATATACTATTCTTTCCGCTTTACAGTGCGACGGCCAATGTAATGTTTTTGCGGCGGCGGGTTTACAGTATCATCGAGGTCATTTCCCATATGAGAAGCGGCACATAAGGCATACTGTATGAAAAGAAAAACGCCGTGAAAAGTTCCGGTAGTGTTAATCTCTTACCACCACCTTCCTTAATCGGACTGTAGGGTGTTGCTTAGGGCAGGCACATGGCCGATTTGAGGAAATAGGGCCCGGCAGTCCATTCTAGGGACTCTGCCTCCGAAAAAGTGCTATCGGAGGAAATTACTCCAGGTGGCCCTGACATGCGGTGACTCGGTGGGACGGTGTAGGATAAAAGCGAGACTGCGCAACCGCGCGGACCGCGCGTGCCCGGTTACGGCATGTCTGAAGCGGCCCAAACAGAAATATGACGTGAAGCGAGCGCGTGTGTCTAGTACTAGTTACGGTCGTCTGGACTTGAGATGGAGGTGAAAATGTGAGTTGTACTCTGACTGAGCCCAAGTAACCGGGAGAGTAAACGGAGGCAGCCAATCACTCGGGACTGATCGATGTGGAGACAAAGGGTATCAGAACTCAATCAGGATGTCCATCTTGAGCGGGGTTCTAAAGGCAGTGAAGTTCATTAATATTCGTGATGATCCCCTAATTCTGGTAGACCCCTGACTGTGCCGTTAACCGCCGAAGTTCGCTGAAGAATGCTAGTCTATTAACATTTGACATTTATTCAAACATAGACAATGCCAATATGGAGCACGTCAAACAGGGGCGCATTCTTGGCATATTAAAGACCGATAATGGTGCAATTGTTAGGAGACAACATGGATCCGTAACGAATGCCACTCTGATGATATTCCGATGGAAACGCGGGAATGCAGGGCAAGCTTGTTGCCCCTGCCCGACCCCGGCCGATCAACGTTCCCAGAGCACGTGGACTAATTTGGACGACAGCGTCTGGGAAATGTCTTCCTGCTTCCAATTCGAAGCCAGTGCTGTAAGTGGTCAGATGGCCGCCTTTCCAGAAGTGTGAGTGTGGCCAGCAGAATTATACATCTGAATAACGCAGACAAAACGCCTCAGCCTCGTTGTTGCCAACCAAAGCATGTTCCAGCTTCTTGTCTTTGAAATTTGTCTCTCGGCCGACTTGCCCTGCCCGTCGCAGGACGGACATGAACACTTGTTGTTGCCCGTTGCCAGCCTGTTAGTTTCAAAACTGGAGCAGCTGTGTCCCTGACTCAGGCCCGTCCAGGGGATGCTATATGGCAGGTCAGCAGCAGGCGCTCGGCTGGCCGGGTTGGGCCAAGGCTCATTACGGAAAATGAAAGGGGGATCCGGAGAGCCGTGTGACCATAGCACGAGTAGAAGCCACGAGGAAACGATCAGCCGGCGGCTTGGGGGCCGGAGTGTTGCAGTCAGCGGCGGGGCATTGATTGCTTAAAAGGGTAACGAGAGCGAGGTGAACACCTCCATGTCGGCGCAGCAGGGGCAGGTGGGCCGCCCCCCACCCTCTCCCGGTCGGCGCTGCGTGATCAGCGTTCAAGCCAGCCCCCCTCCACGTCGGCGCGCCTGTCCGAGTCAAATGCCGATTGTGGTGTCCGATGGTAAGATAATGGAGGGCGTTGTCGCAGCTTACCCCACTTAGGCTTTCGTTATAGCCGCCGTAATGACGCTAAGCGATAGGGGTCAATAAATTTAATAAGAATAAGAAAACCTGTTTGGTTGATTCGGACTGTGACCAGCCTGTGTTGTTGTGTGTAGCCACTGGAATGCTCCTGAATACCCCATCCAACCGCGGCCGCGGCGATTCGCTGGCTTACCCTCGGACCGCACTCAGATTTGCTTCCGACCCGGGGTGTCAGGGAGGGCGTGGCCTACGGACCACCAAGCGCCGGGGGATCTTCCAACACGCGCCAGCTGCCGTCATCGGTGCATGGCCACAAAGGCCCAACCTCCGAAGTGTTGTAGACGCGCGCAGGCCACAGCAAACGCACAGGGCGATGCGAGCGCTCAGCAAGGCTTATGCATTTCCTGCACGCAGATAGCGTCCTCATAGTAAGCCCCTGCGGAGAGGCTTTGCGGGAGTACATGGCTTGATATTTCGCCCGGTGGGCGGGTGATGCAAGCGCCCGCGTGGGCGCGTCATCTTGGCCAAAGGCGCAGCACAGTGCGATGATGGTGAAAAGCTGGTCGTTTCCGCGATTCGCTCCCCGCGCGACAGATCGATGCGAACATGCTGCGGTTGGGAGTATCACGCGGCTCCAGATGGCCCAGTGGCCGTGACCATCCCTAAGCTACTGAATTCGGGGCAACCGAATGGGTCGCGCACAGGAGGTGGGATCATCATCGCCATTTCATGTTAGGAGTAGTATCCAAACTAGTTTAGATGACTGTGAGCATGTGAGCAGCAAGATATGTGGCATGCGAATTGACATCGAGGGGTAAGGGGATTGATTGTTGAGGTGTTTGTTAGGCGAAGAAGAGGAGGAGGAGGCGAACAGGTGGATGTGGAATGGGCGGTGGCCGGCCCGAATTAGGGAAGGTCTGAGGTGAGATGGAGCGACAGGGCGGGAAGTTAGGCGGTGGGGAAGAGGGTGATGGGACGAGGGGACGATGCACTTTTTCAACGGAAGAACCGGCAAGCGGCAGTGATGTCTCACTCGTCTCTGCCCCTTTCGGCGCGGGCGGCATATTGCTTCCGTTTACGCATGCTCTCTCATCCCCACCGCCGTGCTGTCGCTCTCTCCCGAGAACATCCTTTATAAACCCCCGGGGTCATTCATCCCAACCCTCTTTCTCTTTTCCTTAGACGTTCTCTCCCCTCCGTCGTCCAACACTCCTCGCAAGTCAGCGAACTCGCTGCCCTCGACGCTCTCCTCCCTTCATTGGGCGTTTAGCTAAAGGTGACTAAGCTCATTCCAGAGCTTCGTGCATAGACTCGGCTTTTTCCCTCTTCTCTACTTCCTTCTCTCTCCTCTGGCAGTGGCTTCACCAGCTTCGGCTTCAACGCACGCAACGACCTCCTACTCGATTCCGCATTTCTTCTCCATCCTATCTAACGCAATGGACGCTTCTCACCGTGTACACCAGCCGGCTTCGACGACTGCCTACAAATTACCTGTATATGCTGCACCGCTTCCATCAAAACAATACCCGACGGCGCAACCTACCCCCAGCAGACGAGACGATCCATATTACGGTCACCAGGAGACTGCAAAGACCTGTGATCTCTTCATCCGTCATCTTTTCCAATGTCCGAACGTGCCAGTGCAGGCGACGACCACCGACCCACCACAACCCGTCCCCTCCCTGGCACGTTTCATCGCATATGCTCTCCATCGTACACGTTTACCTCCATCCGTCACCTACAGTGCCTTGTTCCTCCTTTCCCGTTTGAAGGGCCGTTTCCCGGGTGCCAGGGGCAGTTCGGGACATCGTCTCTGGATTTCTGCTTTCATGATTGCCTCAAAGGTGAGTTCGGATTTGTCTTCCATATCCGATGCACAGCTAATCAATCTCTCAGGTGGTGTGTGATGACACGTATTCGAACAAGAGCTGGGCGATTGTTGGCCAGCACATGTTCTCTCTGAAGGAGATCAACCAAATGGAGCGTGAAATGTGCGGTTATCTCGAGTGGATCCTCAACATCGACCCTGCTGAGCTCAAGGCGTTCACGGACGCTGTCAAGGAGCAGTACGGCCCGCATTCAGACCTCGCTCGCCAGATGGCCACTCCGGAACGCAACATACAGTTTACTAGGGCTTCCGCTTCATATGACCTGTACGATGACGAGGATCCCGGATCGCCATACCAATCTTCCAGCAACTCGCCCGTCTCGTCGACGCTGAACACCCCACCGTCGACCCAGATGCTACCCGTTCCAGAGGGCAAGTACTCCGAGACTTACACCGATCCTCAGAGTCTGTACGTCTATTCCGAATCCACGGTCTGGTAGCGAGTCGCTGGTCGATCCGTCCCGACCCTCCTGTCCGATGTCTTTTGCATAAACCGGCGCAGTCGTTGGCGGATGTACGATATGACGACTTCTATTTCCTCGCCAATGCCGTTTGTCGTGTGGATTAATCCTCTTGCGCCGTCATCTCATCATCATCCTTGATTTGGGCTTTTGGGTTTTGGTTGTCTTTGCCCTGTGTCATCTCAACGCAAACCATCCTTAATTTTTCCCCTCCTCTCACAGCACTTTCTTTTGCATGTTTCATCGTTACATTGTTCCGCTTCTGCAATGTGCACATCATTCTTTGTCCTGTGTCTTATATAACCTGTTTTCTCTGCGCTATGTACACTTTGCAGGAGCCATCACCTGCCCCTATGTACCCCGTTACCTCATAGTATGCCCGAACCGTCGCAGAGAAATGAAATCAAGTCAGTGCCACAATATTCACTTGTGCTATTGCTCCAGTGAAACCACACATCGCCTCATTGTTCACAGCACAACACTACTTTCGTTTCCTCCACATGTCCCCAACACCCCACCGGGGCGCAGGGCCCGAGGAGCGAAGCCAGGTGTGTGACATAGTGTTTCGCAGGTCTTCAGGGCTTCGAAGATGGCATGTGTCCGTGCATCCGAGTTCCGTTTGGGAATCCACCTAATTCAGCTAAGGGTTGTTCCTTCCGTCAGTAACACAAGAAGCAGCCAACAAGCGACCCTGTGAACCCCCTGGGATAACCAGCGGGCGCATGCCATGCACCGGGTCATGTCACACGTCGGATGCCGCCTTTCCTAATGAAGTCTAGGAACGGAAACGTCTACAGCAGGCTTCTACAAGGGCCTTCCAGCGATCTTATTCGAACCAACTCTTCGTCAACCGAGAGCAATACTCAGCGCCAACAGAGCTGCAATGTGTCGAATGTTCGATAGACCCGCACCCCACCGGCGTGGACTGACTTGGACTGCCTGTTCCTCACGCCTGTAAGATGTCGCGCCCTGTTCCCGGTTTACGGAACACGCAAGTCCACGCGCTCCCGCAGCGCGCTACCCTGCCTGTGGGTCCGTGCCTTCGGCCTCACGTTCGGGAGGCTTTCGCCCTACAATTCTGGTGGCATTGATCATAATGAAGCCCCATTGTCATGACTAACCCGGGGACATCATCGGAGCGGATCAAATCCTTTTCCCGCTCCAATAGGCCAAAAGTGTATGCGATTGATGAAAAGAAGAGTACATGACAAAGGGTTTCAGCGATCGTCGGAGACCGGCCAGAGGCTGTGAGGAAGCCACAAGACCTTCTTTGGAGTTGAAGGGGCGCCACAAATGCGAGGTACGGGGAAGATCGGGCCATGCCCGCCCTCATGATGATGGTGTCCATGATGGTGTGCTAGTCCATCCATGTCGTCCATGCTGTTGTGAAATTATGTATTGATTCCAATGGCAGATGGGCCTTGTCCGCACCTGACGTGTATGATGGCTGCCTTTGTCGCCGTGTGCCCAACGGCACTAGTCACATGGATGGTTACTGGCTGGCATTGTCACGTTCCGTGAATACTTCTTTTTCCAGCAGTCTGGCTGCCCTTTACCCACAACTGCCTTTTGTGTTTGCCTTCTATACGATTTTTGACATCGTTGACTCGCCGTGGGGTTTTCTCGGTGTGGCGTGTAATGATGACGATGCCTCCGACCGAGAGCCTGCAAGTTCTTCTGATATATCGACGAGGATACTTCTGCGTTCTTGTTCATTGTCCGCGGCTGAGGAGCAACCGGTGACACCCCAATGACACATCACAATGTGGAAAGCGGTCGGAATATTTCTGAGAACTTCTCAATTCCAGCCAGCTCAGCTCGCCAAATCTTGGTTATGTCGTTCCTCGTTCTTGTGGGGACAGCTTCGTGTACTCTGACGGAGCAAGGCATGAATCTCTCGGTCTCGGCTATGAGAATGTCGACTGCGCGTATGCTGGGCGCCATCAGAACAATAACTCGGCGTAATCGAGGCCTTCATCTATCGGATGCTGGCAACGACGACGGACCATCCAGATCCTGACCCCAGTTGTTGAGCTAGCCTGTCCAAAAAAGGCGAGTGACCAAGCCCACAAAGAGGCTCTGGAGCAGCACATGTGGAAGAACACATGCCCCACGTTTGAAGACTCCCCACCGATTCACGAGTTCGGTCGAACTGAGCAAATGGGAAGAGCAGCAGACGAGTGAAATGTAGCAAAGCAGGATCAAGAACGAGCTCTATCGCTCGTGTACCAAACCGATCTAGATGTCAGTGCATATGATGCACCTTGAGCGGAGACTCGATGATGAAAAAATCGAGCCAATGGAAGTAACGATCTTGTTGCGCTTTGTTAATCATCTAATCTCTTTGCCAGGTTCTAGTAGAAGTCTTGAATAAGTCTGCGCAGCAGTAGTATAGTTGATGCTGGTACATTCTGCATTAGATATGCAGTTGTGGTTTAGATGACTGTTTTGAGTTTGACTGGGTTGAGTTGAGGGCTATAGCTAGTCTTGAGATTAATTTCCGCGGCGAAGTCTTGCCGTTGGTCCAGCCGCGTGCCGGGCGTGAGTTAAGTATTTTTTTGAAGTGGCGCTGCTTATCAGGGGATTTTTTTCTCTGATTTGGGCGAAGTTAACCCTGAAAAACTGCCCTCATCCCTCGTTACCCTCCCTCATCTTGCATCTGAGCATTGACAGGTATACTCGCTTGTCCTCTTCGGATGACGGTAATCTTCGACAAATCAACTCGTGACGAGTACGCACACAGCTTTTGGGCATTGTCTATCACGAACTCATGCTACTGATCAGCTATTTGGCAGACCTCGTATTCTCTCTGCTGGGAATTTGAATTACCTCATTCGAACACAAATTACATCACAATCGCGAATACCCGCCGCCTGCAAATACGCCTAGTAGCTGATCAATACGAAAATGATCCAGTGGTCAGTTACAGCCAGTCGCTTGACACGACTGGTGTATCTGAAATCAACCCGCGCTTTTCACATCTCACGACCAGTATCAATCGCTCCGACAAAATATGCTGAAGCCGTCGCACAGTCCGCTGTGGGAGGTTTTGACGGAGACGAACATGTCTTGAATTCTCCGTCCGAGCTTGCACGTCGTATTTCGGCCAAGGTGCTTCCCAAAATACCCCGACCCGATGTGAAGAAGGTCGTCATGCTGGGTAGTGGCGGCCTCAGCATTGGCCAGGCTGGAGAGTTCGATTATTCTGGATCACAAGCAATGAAGGCTTTGAAAGAAGAAGGCATTGATGCCATTCTAATCAATCCGAATATCGCAACTTGGCAGACCTCCCATCAGCTCGCATCAGAAGTATATTTTTTGCCCGTCACTGCCGACTATGTCGCCTACGTTCTTGAGAAGGAACGGCCTGATGGCATCCTGTTGACGTTTGGTGGTCAAACTGCCCTGAACGTCGGGATGCAGCTGGATCGCATGGGTGTCCTAGAGCGTTTGGGAGTGCAGGTTCTGGGCACACCGATCCGGACCCTCGAGATCAGTGAGGATCGTGAACTGTTTGTGAAGGCTCTGAATGGTGCGTTGCCTGAATTCAGTTATTATCCTTCGTATTGATTTAACCTGTAGAAATCGATATTCCGGTTGCGGTGTCGACTGCCGTGTCGTCGGTCAACGACGCTCTGAATGCCGCTGAAGAGATCAAGTACCCGGTTATCGTTCGTGCTGCATTTACATTGGGTGGTCTTGGATCAGGCTTCGCTGAAAATCCCGATGAACTGCGAGATCTGGCGGCCAAGGGCTTGTCGCTGAGCCCTCAGTTGCTGGTTGAGCGTAGTATGAAAGGGTGGAAGGAACTGGAATATGAAGTAGTTCGGGATGCTGCGGATGTGAGACTGCTCTCCTCTGAAACAGATTCATGTCTAACGTCTCTGCAAAGAACACTATTATTTGTTGCAACATGGAAAACTTCGACCCACTTGGCACTCACACCGGCGATTCTATTGTCGTCGCACCTTCTCAAACGCTCCCCGATGATGAGTATCATATGCTTCGAACCGCCGCGCTCAAAACGATCCGTCATCTCGGTGTCGTCGGCGAGTGTAATATCCAGTATGGTCTACATCCGACTTCCAAAGAATATCGCGTCATAGAGGTCAATGCCCGTCTCAGCCGATCCAGTGCTCTAGCATCCAAAGCCACTGGCTATCCACTGGCCTACACTGCTGCCAAGCTTGCCCTTGGCTATACTCTGCCGGAACTGCCGAATGCGGTAACGAAGAACACCACTGCCTGCTTCGAACCGTCTCTGGATTATATCGTCACCAAGATTCCGAAATGGGATCTTGCAAAGTTTTCGGGTCAGGTCAGTCGTCATGTCGGCTCTGCTATGAAGTCAGTCGGCGAAGTCATGGCTATCGGTCGTACTTTTGAGGAGTCCCTTCAGAAGGCCATCCGTCAAGTGGATCCGCGGTACACGGGTTTTGAAGCATATGTGCAACCAGAAGATCTCGACCATGCGCTGCGTGCGCCTACAGATACACGGCTCTTTGCGGTGGCCCACGCGATGTACAACAAAAACTACACCGTTGATCAAATTCATGATTTGACCAAGATCGATAAGTGGTTCTTGTACAAGATCGACAATATCGTGCAGACTAGTCGTCAAATGACTGAAGCTGGAACCCTGCAAGCATTAAACAAAGACTTTATGCTCATAGCTAAACGCATGGGTTTCTCCGACCACCAGATCGCCGATCGTGTTGGCTGTACGGAGACCGAGGTACGCGCTCATAGGAAGGTGCTAGGTGTCACTCCTTTCGTTAAGCGCATCGACACTCTCGCCGCAGAATACCCTGCACACACCAACTATTTGTACACGACCTACAACGCGCAAGAGCACGACGTCTCCTTTGATGAGCACGGTACGATGGTTCTTGGCAGCGGTGTTTACCGCATTGGAAGCAGTGTCGAATTTGATTGGTGCTCTGTCACTTGTGCTCGCAAGTTGAGAGACATGGGGAAGCGTACCATCATGATCAACTATAACCCAGAGACTGTCTCAACCGATTATGATGAGGCCGATCGCATGTATTTCGAAGAACTCGGCTGGGAACGCGTCATGGATATCTACGAGCTAGAGCAAGCGGAAGGTGTCATTGTCAGTGTTGGTGGCCAACTTCCCCAGAACATTGCTCTTCGCCTCAAACATAGCGGGGTCACTGTTCTTGGTACAGACCCGGAGCGAATTGATTCAGCAGAGGATCGTCACAAATTTTCGGGTATCCTGGATAAAGCCGGCGTTGATCAGCCTGCTTGGACAGAGGCGAGCAGCATCGAAGATGCAAAACGATTCGCCGCCCAAGTCGGATATCCAGTTTTAATCCGACCGTCATATGTTCTTTCCGGTGCAGCTATGAACGTTGTATACGAGGAGTCAACTCTGGACCATAATTTGTCTGCGGCTGCCTCAGTCTCACCGCTACATCCAGTCGTCATTACCAAATTCATCGAAGGTGCCCAGGAGGTTGACATCGATGGGGTCGCATATCAGGGAAAGCTGATTCTCCATGCGATCTCTGAGCACGTTGAGAATGCTGGCGTCCATTCTGGTGATGCTACGTTGGTTTTACCCCCGTTCTCGCTTGATGACGGGGAGATGGTGCGACTGAAGGAGATCGCTGAGAAAGTTGCGAAGGCGCTGGATATTTCGGGTCCGTTCAACATGCAGATCATCCGACAGCCAGCGGAAAATGGTCAAGACGCTGCTTTGAAGGTGATTGAGTGCAACCTTCGCGCTTCCCGCTCGTTCCCCTTTGTTTCCAAGGTTCTCGGTACCAACTTCATTGAAGCTGCTACCGCCGCTATTGTTGGCCAAAATGTTCCTGCACCGATTGATTTGATGGCAAAGAATCGGGACTATCAGGCTATCAAAGTTTCGCAGTTCTCTTGGACACGGTTGCCTGGTGCCGATCCCTTCCTTGGTGTTGAAATGGCCAGCACTGGAGAAATCGCTAGCTTTGGTCGCAATATGCAAGAAGCGTACTGGGCAGCCTTGCTTAGCACCAATGGTTTCAAGGTTCCCCAAGCGGGACGTGGCGTTCTTATCGGCGGTGACACCAGCAAGCCTGAAATGGCAGCTGTTGCTCGCTCTCTCGTTGATCTTGGATTCAAGCTGTACTGCTCTTCAACTGAGGTCGCAGAGTTCCTCAACGAGCTTCCATACGTGCACTGCAAGCGAATTTTCTTCCCACTGAAAGACAAGAGGAAACTTCGGGAGGCCTTTGATGAGTGGGAAATCCAGTGTGTGATCAATCTCGCGAAGGCACGCGGCAAGGATGCTCTAGATGAGGACTATGTTGCGCGGAGGTATGCAAACCAGTCATGTTTTCTGTGTCCCGCTTACAAGTTGTCCAGGAATGCGGTTGACTTCGGTATCCCACTGATCAATAACGCCAGGTGTGCCGAACTTTTCGTCGAGAGTCTTGCCATGAAGATGCATCAGGGAGACTATGGTAAATACATTGAAGGTCACATACCGCCGGAGGTTCACTCTTGGTCTGAATTTGTTGGTTCTAAGGTATGAGAATACACCAAGTATCATGGCTCGCCACTTGTAGATTAGCATATGCCTCTTGAATTCTATTGGTGCTCTCCTTTGAACTCTGATATCCCCCTCTGCTGAGTGAAGATATGCATGTCCTTCACACGCTCCCTAACAACCGCTTAGGCCAGTTGGGTCTGCCAACTCTTCAACGACTAGAATCTTCGTCTCTTGATGAATACGCGACATGTCTAGTTTGCCTGCCGCTTTCGCCCATGCGAACCGTTCGGCCGTTTCCTCGTCCAATGTCCCTTCTATGCGACCCAGTGCAAAACGTCCCAAGGTAGGCAAAAACTACCCACAGAGTGTTAGCGGCAATTCAGTGTAAAGCGACTTTGGTCTGACCTTGAATGCATGACCTGATCCACCAGTGGCAAATAACAACTTTGAATGATCCGGATGGAAATCGAATATCCAGTCAGAGTCCGGGGTATCGGTGTACCAGCACATCCTTGTGGAATTGAGCGGTTTCTTCCCGAGGTCCGGGTACATTGCCTTGACCTGTTGCCGCAACTCTTTGATCATTGTCCTTGTTATTGCTTTGCCCTCAATGCCACCATCTACCACGGTTCGGGGTGTGGATACGGGTGCTGCACCAGGCAGAGCACTTTCTTGCGGGTTGGTGTATCCTGCGTGGTGTATAGCGCATTTCATGATGTTGTCCTTGTTTGGCTATATGTTGCTTAGTCCTTGCACAGGCATGCGGTCAATAACACTGACCGGGAATCCGTACCACCCAGAGGCAAAGTCAAGCACCACTGGTACATTGCGATAAAGTTCGGCTTCCTCTGCAGTGAGTTGAATGGTTGCGACGCTCTGCCTAGGGACGGTTCGAGCGCAGCACGAATAGACACTGCTGCCCTCTCTTACCCTGTTGCAACCATCCGCTCAGCAGCACCGTATCCAGGAAGAAGGGAAGGTGTCCAGGAACCAGCAGCGGCGATGACCAGGTCGGCGAGCATGGCTTGCCCAGACACGAGAATAACACCATCGACCTTGCCGCTCGCATCCTCATGCAGCGTCTTAACCTTAGCGCCGCTGATAATTGACCCACCAAGCTCCCGGACTTTATCAGCTACGACAGCAACCGCTTCACTTGCCGCAGCCCAGCCCCCATCGCGGTTTATATACACGTTGGTGGCAGGGATATTTCCAGTCGATATTCCGGAAGGGAACACCCCAGTGATTGCGGACAAGTCCTTCAAACGCTCAATCCTGGAGCCCAGCGTTTCACAGTTCTCCAAAGATGCGTTCGAATAGGAGCCGGTTGCCGAATCGTCCCCGAGCACTATAACGCCGCACCTGGAGGTACTCAGTCCAGGCTTTCCTTTGCGACGAATTGACTGAGCCTCACTCATGGTACGTCCCCTTCCACTCCGGCTTCCTCCACTCCTCAATAGCTTCCTTTGCCAGTCGGGCATAGAACATATCGGAGTAGTCACTCCGTACGATCTTGTTGATATCCGTGCTTGCGGCATCCACCGCAAGGCCGGCTGGAGCCCGCTCGAGAACGGTTACTCTGTAGCGACCAGTCTTGAGGAGGTGATAGGCGGTAGAGAGCCCAAAAGCACCAGAACCAATGATGATAACCTCTTTAGAAAGCATTCTAGCAAAGCGACGTACAACTGGGATAAAGGATCACCTAGATGCTTAGACAGTGAAAGTGCTTTATATTGCATAGTTGCGGTCGTATCGGGTTAGGGTCCAGGAAGGGGTCGGATGAAGCGAAGCGAATTTCTGCTGCCGTGCGTGAGCGCTAACTCGCATGACCACAAAACTTCGGACTCGCTGATCCACCACATCTTGGATTGCTCAGTTCCTTCATCATGGTAAGCATCATAATGTTGACTGTATTACCCAAGGTCACTAAGCTTGCCGTGCAGAGCCGTGCAAAGAAGACTAGAAAATTTGCCGAGGTGAAGCGCATCCTTAATCCCAAAGATGCGAGATTGTGAGCGTTAGACAGTGTCCTTCGAGTACTCCCTAACTTCGTGTATAGAGCGGAAAACAAAGTCAAGGAGAAACAGAAGGAAGAGGCAAAAAAGGAAGCAGCAAAAAGACACGTCCCACAGCAAGCCTCATCGCTCTTCTTTGCCCACAATACTGCCCTCGCACCACCATACCGCGTCCTTATCGATACGAACTTTATCAACTTCAGCCTGCAAAACAAGTTGGAGATCGTACAAGGCATGATGGATTGTCTGTACGCCAAGTGCATACCGTGCATCACGGACTGTGTCATGGCTGAGTTGGAGAAGCTAGGTCCGAAGTACCGGATAGCGTTGAGGTGCGCATGGCAGCCTTCTGTCAGCAAACACTGCTGAAGTGATTACAGAGTCGCCCGAGATCCACGCTTTGAGCGTCTTCCATGTTCTCACTCCGGGACATACGCAGATGACTGCCTTGTAAAGCGCGTCACTGCGCACAAGTGCTATCTTGTTGCGACGTGCGATCGGGAGCTCCGCAAACGGATTCGCAAAATCCCTGGTGTACCTCTCGTCTACATCGTGAAGCGAAGGTATGCGGTCGAGCGATTGCCTGATCAGGGAGCGCCGGCGTAGAAGGCGCGAAGGGTACGGGATGGAGGTTGGCTTGGATCCAAGTCCGCCGGGCGACGATGGGGATGAAGGATCATCGCATTTGTATCATTTAACATGTTTGCATATTTCCCCTATCGCTCCCTACAAGCCGAGTGACCATTTAAGAATTGTTTTTCTCGTCAGGGTAGAGCTTAATGCACTTGGGCATACGTTGGGAAGAATCTCCGAGTCTTCTGCGATTACAGAGCGGTCCAAGAGTTACACTTTGAAAGGTTCATCGATGCACTCTCCGAAATATTATTTTGTTGCGGACTTGCGATCGGGCACGCCGCAGATATTGCAAAATCTCTGGAGTGCTCCTGGTCTACATTGCTGCAGTTAGCGATTACCTGATCACGGAGCGCCGGCATGGAAAGCGAGTGGAAAGCGATGTTGGTCCCAAGCCGCGGACGTCGGAGGCGGGAGAAGCATGAGAATGATGGATCATATATCACATTGATATTTTTTGCTTATCTCTCTGAGCCAAGTGAACAATTATGGATTGTTATCCTTGCCAAACGAGAACTGTGTGCACTGTGTGAATGCCATGGCGATGGGGTAAGACTAGAAGTATACAATTGTATTGGCGGCCTGAGCGTGTGTGTTTTGTCTGCCTGACGACGTTGATTCTGTGTGCCTCCATTGAGTGCCGGGCTAGAACCCTGTGTAATCAAGGAAGCAGATTTTGTTGGCGTGTGTGACGTGTGGGTGGCCCCTCGTAATTGTTCCCGTGAGTTTAATTGGGGGTGCTTGCCCCCGCAGGCGATGTTGCTCCTGATGGGCCAGTGACCGGCCTATGGCGATGTAACAAAGGCCCTTGGCATACTTTTCAATATATCTCTTTCATACCCCCCACTGCTCATCGGTCACCCCCTCAAACCACCGGACGGTCGGCTCTGTCCGTCCCACTATCCCCCCCCATCTTCTTTAACTTGTTTTCATCTGGCTGTTGACCAGCTGTCTATCCTTCGAACGCTCACCTGCCACGCGCGGTGCACACTACCGCAACTCTCAAGTGTATCGACCCTTTGACAGTTCTCCCGTCTGCCTGTCTGCTTCTTCGCCAACACATTCACTTTCCCCCTATCGCTCACCTTGCATCAACACCATCATGTCGAGCAGCAACTCTCAGCCCGATGCCGGTACCATCGCCTCGGATTTCATCCAGGCGTACAATGCAAAGCTTAGTGCAGTCGCACCCACCGCCGTAGGATCCCAGGTCCTGTTGATGTCCGTGATATCGGTGAGCCGCTCGTAGCGTACCATATGGAATGGCCTGCTTACTCCTGTTCAGCTTGTCACGGTCCTTGCTTTTAACATTCTCCGACCACAGAATAAGATCATCTACGAACCAAAGAGCAAGTACTTCGAGGGGGATAAACGTCCACCCAAGGTTTGTTTATTCCGAAGTACGTCAGGCGACCTCTGACCTTGGAAACAGATTCCAAATGGCTTTTTCGACTGGGTCAAGCCCCTACTCACCACCAACGAAGATACTCTCATGCATCTTATCGGCCTGGACGCCGTTGCATACCTTCGATTCCTCCGTATGCTCCGATATCTCTTCGTTATCGTCGCCGCCCTCGTCTGCGCTGTCTTGATTCCCGTCAACGTTGTATTCACCAAAGGCCACACCGCCAACTACAACACCCTCAGTATGCTTACCATCGGCAGCGTCAGCGGCAATATCCTCTATGTACATGCCGGTATAACATACCTAATCAGTGCGTAAACTTGTGGTGCACTTCACTCCAAGGCTCATGACTCGCGTAGCATTTATTATCCTCGGTTTCGTGTACATCAACTGGCGCAGAATGGTGGAGCTGAAGATTCGTTTTTTCCGCTCTCCAGAATATATTGAATCATTCTACGCTCGTACTCTCATGATCCGTCATGTGCCACAGGAACTGCAGTCCGATCTTGGTATCCAAGCCCTCTTCCAGTCCTTACAGGCCCCATATCCTACAACAGACGTTTATATTGGCCGTCAAGTTGGAAGCTTGCCAGAGCTTATCGAGTATCACAACGAGACCGTCCGCAAGCTCGAACACGTCCTCGTCTCTCATCTTAAAGGAGGCCAGGTAGGCAAGAAGCGACCCACTATCCGGTTAGGTGCTACGATGGGTTGTGGTGGCGAGCAAGTTGATGCCATTGATCACTACACGTATGTGGCTTTGCTCTTTCCTTAGGCGCCGCTCACTCTGCTCAGTGAAAAGATTAAGAAGCTTGAAGCAACCATCGAGGACCAGCGTGCCAAGATCGACTTGCGCAAAGCTGAAGACTACGGCTTCGCTTCTATGGCAGCTGTTTCGTACGCTCACGTGGTCGCACGTATGGTGTACAACAAGACGCCACAGGGCGCCAAGATCACCATGGCTCCTAACCCTAAGGATATCATTTGGAAGAATCTCAAGCTTGATCGAGGCACCCGTGCGAGACTCCGTGTTTGGGGCTTCATGATCCTGGCAGTTGTGTGCTTCTTCAATACGATTCCTCTGCTTGCCATTTCTGCCCTTGCCAACTTGGCGGCGCTCACACAAATACCGGGATTGGAATTTCTGGACAAGTGGCAGTCTGCGAGTAACATCACCTTCTCTATAGTGTCTGGTGTTTTGCCACCCGCAGTCTCTGGTATTTTCTCATACTTCTTGCCAATTATCATGCGTCGTTTGGCAAAGTATTCTGGTACCGTGAGTATCGCATTTCGCATGTCTAATCGCGGGTTGATGTTTTGGTCAGATTACTCGCTCTAGTACGGACGCTCAAGTTGTTGCGCGGTATTACGCATTCCTCGTCATCTCACAATTCCTCATTTTCAGTCTGATCGGCGTTGGTTTTGGTAAAGTGTTGCATCACTCCTGGGTACCGATTCTCACAACATGTTTGAAGATGCGGTAAGCAAGATCATCAACGATGTGAACCAGTCAGAAAGCGCTGCGGCTGTTCTTAACGACCTATCCAATGGTGAGTTGCAGCCCGAGTTGCCACCAGAGGAAACACACGTTAATCTGCTGTAAAGCACTGCCGGGAGAAATTCAAAGCACTTACGTGTCGCAATCGAACTATTGGCTCACCTGGTATCCGTACGTTTCAGATTGTTATAGCAGGATGATGGCCCTGACCATCGAAACCAGTTTGCGCGGCTTCTTGGTCGTTTTCGATCTTGCACAGTTGATCAATCTCATCTACATCTTCATCCGGACTCAGTGAGTCTTCCTATAAGTCTTCATCCTTGTGTTACTAACCGAAATCATAGCCTGTTTGGGCGTACACCACGTGACATTCGCGATTGGACTAAGCCACCTTCGTTTGACTATGCCATTTACTAGCAAGTATATTTCAAATGCATCTGAACACTCGGTTGACCGGATTTACAGCTCAGCTATCCTGTTTATGGCCACCGTCGCACTTCTCTACGCACCCTTGGCACCTCTTGTGCCCGTCATGGCAACAGTCGTCTTCTGGATCAGCTCATTCATCTACAAATATCAGTTGATGTTCGTATTTACCACCAAGATTGAAAGTGGAGGAGTGAGAAAATTCCTTCTTGATTGGAGTAGTTTTGCCTGACTAGATACGCAGCGCATGTGGAACGTTGTCATCAACCGGCTTCTTATGGCTACAGTTTTTATGCAGCTTTTGATGGCTTTGAGTGAGCACTCATCTCTATTCAGACAGGACGGTCTCTTACTCGTGCACAGCGATGTGGCTTGGAGCTGGTCGTTTGGCTGCCATTTCCATGGTCCCGCCGATTCTCATTGTTCTAGCCTTCAAAATGTACACCGCTCGTGTTTTCAATGGTCGCTTCATGTTTCATACCCCAGATGGCGACGAACTGGCGGTTGGCAAGGTTTATTCGCAGAAGGCTGATGTCAAGAGAGCGCGCCTTGGAAAGCGTTTCGGTCACCCTGCTCTCCACGCCGAACTGTTTACCCCTATGGTTCATGCCAACATGGCCAAGCTGCTTCCAGAAGTCTACCACGGTCGTTTGACCTACGGTACAGCGAAGGTTGCGGAGTACGGAAACCAGAAGTTGGGCGCCCAGATTGCGGGTGGCATCACCATAGCCTCTGTGGAACAGAACGATCTCGAGTACGACCCCCAGCTCTATCAGAGAGATCGTGGAGAACAGGACTGGGATACACGGTCGATTGCTTCCACCGTTGCTTTCGGCTCGTCTCAGGAAGTGAAGTCTACCTTTGTTCCGTTAGTCGAGGGTGTCCATGACCACGAAAAGCCAAAACTGGCCGCCATCGACAGTTACCTTCAGTACGGCCCTGGGCATCAAGCAGGAGCATCGACAACATCTTTGACATCTTCACTGGATGATAGTGAACTGAACAGGGCGGCATATCACGGCGATGATAACCGGCCGCTGCTTAATCGCCAGATTTCTGGAGATACACTTGTCAACCGCGCAGAAAGCCCCATGACCTATCCGCCCATGTACCCTTCTCCTTTGGCGGGTCCACAAGGCATCGTCCCGCCCTACGATATCAATCGTTCGAGGACGCCCACAACTGAACCCCTTCTCCCTCGCTCCCGCATTCCCACCGCTGACAACCTGGCATACAGCCCCCGGCCTGGGCCCCCATCGAGGCAGCCGACTGCAGAGTGGACAGCCTCCCCAGTCAATGTCCGCCCCGTTCCCCCTTCCAGGCAAGCACCTGCAAATTGGGAAGCCATGAGTGGCGCTTCACCCGCCCGTTCAACCCCACCACCGGCGCTAAATGACAACTGGGAGTTCCCCAATCGCGGAATGACGCCCCCATTGCGGCAGGCAACCTCAAATTGGGATCCATCTTCTGTCTCTCGGCCTCGCGGTCCTAACCCACCTTCCAGGCAACGTACCGCAAATTGGAATCCGGATGGTGTGAACATCTCGGGCCGTGGCGCTTATAATAGGAATGATGCACTGGGGCAGGAACCTCGCGTTGATGTTTCCCATCGGTCTTTTATGTAGAGTGGTACAAGGACTTATCATGTGTTGAATTCTCTGGACTTATATAATTACTGCACCTGCGGTGTATGTAACGTGCCCTTCTCAAAATACACTGTACACCTGGCAATCGAACTTGCATTCTTTTCCATGTCAGGTCCTCCGCTGATCAGGATTCGTAGCATCGGATTTGAATCATGCGCCACTCTGTTACAAACCGGCCAGTCCCAGCTGTTCGTTGATACAACGGCTCACAGTCACAAGTTCATCCCAATGCCGATCGTCTGCAAGGCATCGCGACGCGAGATCATGCTCAACCTCAGCTCGTTGACGGAGTGTTTGATATGCATACGGCTGTGGAAAAGATTCGAAGACATTGGGATCGCCATCAGACAATGTATCAGGTTCGTCCCATGTCAATGAGGACGCTCTATAGTCCTGATCAGAGTCCACCTGTCGTCCCCAGCCCGATTCCGCAGCTATCAACCTATCAGGGTCTGTCTGAATCTAGTTACAGAAATGCAGTCTTACGAGTGCTCGGTGCCCCACATAACGGTGACACGAGAGAATCCCAAGCGTCTGGAGTGTCCATAGGATCGATCTCAGCTGGCAGAAAGTTGCAATCTGCTTCGTGGAACAGAGAGACAGCTTCGTAATCAAGGTCAGCTCCAGGCACTGCACATGTCGCTAACGGGAGCTCGTTATGCACTTGTTCGAAATTGAGATCAAGTGCCCCAGAACGATGGAGTAGCAGCGAGGGGTGGTCGCCAAGCCCCGCGTCTTCGACCTTCATCCAGGAGGTTTGGTCATCGACAGCAATGTCAAAGAACTCTAGTCCCAGTCCGATACCGCCAGCCACATGGTTATAGTCATCTTCGACGGCAAATAGAGGTTCCTGCCGGCTGGAGGGAGTGGGATGAATTGTTGACGTGTTGGCAGGGCTGTTCGGAAGACTGTATGACAGAAGAGGCACCGAACGGGTATCGTGATCAGTCTGATCAACACTGAATGAGTCGTCAGGAGACACGGTATATGTATGCGCTAACAGGCCGGTCCGGACGCCAGAGTAGAGGGAAGAGTCACACGTCTGGGGTGTAGAAATGGCGTACATGTCATCAGGAATGTTACGGGACGAGTCACGCTCGATAATAGGAGTGGAGGGTGCTGAGCAATGAGAGACACGCTCATTTGTAAGATTTTGTTGACTAGATTTGTGTGACACTAGCATAGCGTGTGAGGGATAGTGATAGACAAAGGAAAGTGAAGCGTGTGAGGTTTCGTCTCGTATCTCGTGGGGAGAACTCGATCCATCGCCTGTATGCGCTGTCAGAGACACGTCCGCCTCTGTTGCCTGCCGTCTTGACGGTTGCTTCATTTTGCGCTTGAAGAACTGAGTGACATTCGCGAAGCTTCTCAAACCATGGCTCGCTGCCCATGCTTTCCTCCACTCGATGTTTGGCATCGACCGATCACGTTCCCAGATCTCGCGCAGCTCGGTCAAGTTCTCCTTCGTCAATTTCGATCCCTTAACGCTATCCTCGTTTATCGCCAGACTTGAACGATTCAACTCGTGCACAAGTAGATAGTCATAGAGCGGTACATCCCCAGGTAAATGGATAGTGTCAGTCATGTTGGATCCTGATGGTGGTCCGGTGCGAACGACGCCTCGTGGGACTCGATGTCGACGCGTCAAGAATCGCACAACCACTGGGGCCCTAAACCCTGCTTCTTTCAAGCACCTCGGACCGGCTCCCGAGGTCCTTCAAAGCAGTGCAGGGAGTGCTATATCAGGGATGATATGCAGCCCCGCATTTTGTCAAGTACAAGTGCTTCTTAGAAGCACTTTAATGAACATTTCAGCCCCATAGTAAATTTGTAGATAGTTAATAAAATTTATTAATAAAATTACTTAATAAAAAAGTGCTTATTAAAAGCATTTCAGGCCCTGCTAATAGGAATAGGCCGGGGGTTTGAATGAAGCATGCTGGGAGATGGTTTAAAGAATAGATTTCAGCACTATAGGTACTACTAATACTAATGGAATCAGTGCTCAGTGTATCCATGCTACTCCTCATCCCCCTCATCCTTCTTGTCCTTGTCCTCATACTCCTTGTTGCTCTCCAGTGCATTCTTGCAATTGGCCTTCTCCTCAGCCATCTGGATGGCTTTCTTGCACTCATAATACCTCTTATTCCTCATGAACTGCTTTATAAGTGCACAGGTGGCCCAGTCATCAGCATAGGCAGGAAGCTGGGGAGCCTTATTCCTGGTCTGTGTTAGACTGAGCAGGGTTAGGGTTAGGGTTAGGGTTAGGGTTAGGGTTAGGGTTAGGGTTAGGGTTAGGGTTAGGGTTAGGGTTAGGGTTAGGGTTAGGGTTAGGGTTAGGGTTAGGGTTAGGGTTAGGGTT